ACTGGCTTGTCTGACAACGAGCAGACGTTACTACTTCGCTTTGTCTATATTGTTTTTTTTTTTTTTACTTACGTTGATTTAGTGGATTAAACCAGATATCGGAAAATGTATTCAAAGCAAATTATATTATATTAAATATAAACTTAATCTCAGTTTATGTATTTTATGTAGATTATTAAGTATATATTAAATCGACCTTCCCACGATTCTTTCGAAACATTGTATAATAACTTTTTCACAATTTTCTATGCAAGTGCCACGAGATTAAAAATAGTTTGTTTTTTTAAATTTACTATATCGTACATATTGAGACTATATTTGCCTTCTGTGCTGTTGATCAAAGTATTTGTTTTTATCATGCCGACATCTTGCGTTTATTCTACGTTAGCCTCTATTTTCTTTTTATTTCTAATTTTATATTCATTAATGCTGCAGTTAGATACTTACTATCACATACGACAAAGAAAACATGGAAACATTTAAATAATATATTACGCGATAAATTCATGAAAAAAACCTAAGGGAAGAAACAACAAAAGAACAAAATTATGCGGGCCTGCTCGATTCAGATAGATAATGATTCATATTGATAACGACGAGGATCGTCAAATCGTGGTATTTTATACACGATTTATGTCCAATTTTTTCACTTCCAGATAAATTGCGGATAACCTTATCCAGCAGATATCTCCATTGTATTCTGGGAGATATCTCTTGGATAAAGTTATCTAGAGGTGCAGAAATTGGGCATTAGGAAATAATGAATGACATCATACCCTGCTGCTTTAGCTTTTGAATAATCACTTTTATTTTTGATCCTTATCAATATTAAACAACGTATATAGTTACGTAAGGGTATATATATTACATGGAAAATTCTGTCCTTCTCGTGCGCATATATCTTCCCGAGATACCTCGAGTGCCCACCACCCGACCGTCCCGAGAGAAAAAAAGTATATCGTCACGCACATGACATTCACTCTCATTCTTTCTCTCCCTCTCTCTCTCTCTTTCTTTCTTTCTTTCTTTCTCACACTCGTCCTTTTATCTTCGTTCTCTCTCTCTCTCTCTCTCTCTCTCTCTCTCGCTTTTCTCTTTCTTTCAGCTTCTATTAAGAACAAGAAACATTCTTTTTTTTATGTCTGGTTCTTTCCTGGCAAACGAGAAAAATGGCGTTCTCGTGGAATTTCCGACGTTGAAGGACGCTTTTGCATTACCATTTTTCGGACGACGCACCTTAATCGCCGGTGCGACATTCTTCCCCGGAGACTCATAATCTCACATCTTCCCAGGTCGTTCGCACGTCCTTCCACGCGAATGCGGATCAATCCGCCCGAAGTGACGCAGGAACGATGCGTTCTTGTAAATCCGATGTTGAGTCGCGTTAAAGGCGACGTTGAATTGTGCGAAGCGCGTATTACACGCCGTCTCGCGAAATTGCTTACGTAGGAGATTGAAACCACTACTAGTTAATTTAATATTAATATCGCTCGCTTTTCACAATGTTCGCCGTATATTCATGTCGAAGATATTAACAATGCGCAACGCATCAAGCAGATGTAGCCTCAAATTCCATCGACACCGTCACATATCGCTGCACACGTATGAGATAGTTGCATACTTTTAGAATGACGAGAACATGATACACTCTTCTTGTATTTTCATCTGTTCGCAGAGAGGGGTTTTAGTGAAGAAAAAATAGAAAATAAATAACTTTTTTTCTGCACCAATTCACTCGTTGCAATGCCGTATGCTCGACACTCGTAGAATTGTAATATTCTATTGTATTCTATTAAAAATTAATTTTGTTATAAGATAAGATTCTTACATTCCTGTCATTCTTAATGCTTCACTTTTATGGGGAAATGTATATTTTCGTTAGCCCTACATTCGTACACTTATACGAGTATGCGCTCGCAATTATGATCCAGAGACGAATTGCTCTTCAGCAATTGCTTATCCTATCGTTACATATATCGCACTTCCAACGGAAAAGAAGGAGAAGAATTATCGCGAGTATCACAAGTCGATTTTTCGCAAATCGTTTAAAAAGGGAAGGAAATAATTACCTTAAATTGTTTATTATTGCCAAGTATATGCACAACGATAGTGCCACCGTTTACATTGTTTGCACATTTCGTACCACACATTGGTGCGTTCAGAATCCCACACGAATGCTCCTCAGATATATTATCCTTGTTTAACATTCGGTGAACAAGGATAAAATGACACCTGAGTGGCACTCAGGTGGGAATCTGAACATAACCCTGGAAATATTTGTCTCCTTTTTTTAAAAAAAAAAAAAAAAAGACAAATGGCGATTTCGCAGCGCTTTCGCAGTTGTCACTTTCCTCGACTGAAAGTGCGATATTTTTCCGCATCTGTTCTCCTCGCGGGAGCTAATACTTTCAACTTACAGCCGTCGAAACTCTCAAGGTATTCGCAGCGAGTTTACTGCGACTTCAAGGTACACACGTGACATCTGCGCGGGATCCGTCGGTCTCCAGGCAAAACCTCGTCAAATTAAACGTCTTATAAAAAAAAAACAATAGATATTCCTCGGACATCCTGCGAATGTCTTTGCGGATATTTCTCAAACTGTTCAGGTTGCTTCAACTCTTTCATCTTTAACAGGCAGAAATTTTGTTACTGGAGTCTCTCTGACTTAAATTGTACTTTGTGGTTTGTACCTCGACCGACGTCGTCCCGCCACATTGTGCAATAGGCCATTTCCTCCTATCTAAGAATACGAAAGACTAACTAAAAGGGCAAAGAGTAAAACGCCGCGTCCTCCTTGTCGTTCTGCTATTTGTCTCGCATGTAGTCCTATTCTTCTGAGATACATCGAGATAATCTCAATGGATCTGCTTGCTAACAATATTATTCGTATAAGTAGCATACTTGATTTGACAGGCTGAAGAATACGAGGAAGCTATGTCGTATAACGCAAAATTTTAATGTTACCGACTTTAAAGTTCGATCGAAGAGATTTGCGAAGAGATAATTACTTTATATGTAGTTACTTCCCAATTTATTCATTGCAATAAAAACAAATATATTTTCCATTTATAGTTTTTGGAATGTAATTATTGCAAATCGTGAACTATAGATTTTTAATGAGTTTCACAGTGTTAAATTAAATTCATTAATAAATTAAATAAGAATTAAAGAATAAATTTGAAAATGCGACATAACTCCTTCGTTAGCTTCACCCTTTCAACCGCATGTATTTTTGTCCGTTTTAAGAAAGGGATCTCTAACGTCTCGTCTAACGTCTGGAGAGATGTATACAGGCACTGTTCTTTCACAGAGTAAACTCCCATCCGTCGAGAATCGCGATAACGCGATACTGCGATTGACAGAACGGATATCCAGAGTACCATAATTTTGCTCGCAGATTGCAATACAAGTCACGTCACCGAGAGAAGGCATGCGAATTATTCTTGCCTCTTAATCACTCATTTTATTTCAGAAACACGTCTCTTTCGACACTGGATAAATGTTCTCGAAGTTGCTCAGCAATGTTTTTCAATCCATTATACGTATACAAAGTATATACATAACGGCCAAAGTTTGTGCTTCGTTTCAGGAAAGTGTCATGTAAATATATTGAATGAATTATAAATCATACAAGATTTATGATCCAAGTTTTCGCAGGACATTTCACGGTGACGTAAGCTCAGTGCAATTAAGCAGTTCCCTAAGATATCCGCGACATTATTACAGGGGTAGAGGATCAAGATAAAAAGAAAAGAAACGGATACATTGCAAATGCGAAATTTGCGCTTGCGCTCCGTTTAATAAACTCGGGCCAACATATTTGGCCATTCAGTTTTCTCTTAATACAATTGTAATTTTAATTTCAGACGCAACTTTTGCGCAAAATTCTTAAGTATTACATATTTTAATATTTAACTTACGCGCGCGTCAAAACTCCATTTAATTAGGTCAAAATTTCACTAAAGAGTTTAATTTGAGTTCAGAATTTAGATGAAGTCGAATTCAGATGAAGAGCTAAGGTACGATTTTTTTTTTCATTTCAGACAATGAACTGCAAACTAATATTAATTATCGTGATCGCGTAGCGAATTTATGATCACCCTGATATGTATCACCTAAAAAATCGAACAGTTTTGTGTATAAAGTATTCTATGTATAACAAAGTGCTACACGTATTCTGGGAAACGTGCGTCGTCGAACGTACGCGGCGGCGTAGGCTAACTTCGCGATCACGCGACGATTCCGCGAATGTGTGCAGGACTGATATGTGTGAAAGGATCACTCCGATCGATATGTAGAGAATAAAAAGCGAGAACTAAGCTCTCGACCTGCCCCTGTAGCGTGTCGAGTATCTCTCCTTTCGATCCTCGAATCAATTTTACGTTTGGAACGCGAAACGATCGACGTTTATCGTCGTCGTTAGAGATGTACAGTGTTTCGATCACAGAGAATATACGTATATATATATATATTTTTTTTTATATATAGATATATGTGTGTATATATATATTTTTTTCCTCTTTCCTCGCGAGATTAATCAGGATTCCATCAGTTCCGCTGAGAGACCTGTACGTGATGAACTAAAGAGGAATCAGGGTGAACGATCGGTTTTGGAGCTCGCCCTTCGCAATAAATGAGACATTGTATAAATTACAAAATTCAAATTTATGTAATAAAAATTAGACAAATTTATGTAATAAAGATATCGTTTGCATTCACGTGAGTGATAAAAAATTTTATTTCTCCTGTTTGCTTTCTTCTTCTCAGGATTGTCACAAATTTTTCATCGTAACAATAAAATTTCCTAACTTTTTCCTGATTTCCAAACAAAATTTCATAATTTTCCCCGACTTAAGTAATATTTTAAAATTTTTTTTTAATTTTACCTTCATTTTGATTTGGAAACCGTTAAATATTTTGTTGAGAGATGAATTTACTATAGTAATGTACATTATCATTAAATGTTGCTAACTGCTTATATTTTTGATTGTTAAGTTGGTAGTATTTCAAAAGTGCGTAGATGAGATGTACATATATTAAACTTCTTTAAAGCTAAATTTTCATTTTCCAGAAAATTTTGCGAAATTCCCTGACTTTTCCTTAATTTCTCTGACTTTTTTCAATTTCTCTGACAATTTCCAGTTTTATGGTCCTGCTTCTCTCTCTGAACAAAATTTTGCTGCTCGATGATCGTAACCTAATTATCAATGTAATCCAATTCGTAATCTAATTATAATATTGTGAAATAATTTTGTTAAAAATTTGTTTGTAATTTGTCGATTGTCAACACCCTGAATCCTCCCTGTCGTCGCTTCGTTATCGAATTAGTCATTCACGTGGAAAAGGGACGCGGAATGTTGAGCGACTCGAGAGCCGCGGGACGATTTCCGCACATGGAAATGCGGACGATGCGTCCTATAACGAAGTAGTAAAAGTGGCGGAGCAGCTGGACGAAAGTAAGTATAGACACGAGAAGAAATATTTCGCGAAAGCGATCACGGGGGGCGGTCGTCGTACCTGCCAACGACTTTGCCCAACGTTCGAGCGACGATGCGTCGCGACGCATCGACGCCCGCCTGGAAGATGCACGATCGAATGTCAAATAGTATGCACGACGCATATCTCCGTTATAAGCGAAACGATAGCATGGCGATCAACAATACAACGCAAGGATATCTTCTGCTTCAGACACATACTCACAAAGAAGCAAACAGATCATGAAGTAATAAAAGTTATTTGTGTAATAAAAGCGTCTGCTGCGTGACTCAAATCGCGCGCCTCGCAATAAACCGGCGACTTTTATACTTTATTGTTCCGCAATGTACAATCGGTAAGCATTCCGCGTTATGGTTTTCCGTGTTTTATCGCAGTCACGTGTCGTGCCTCCTTGGTACTTCGGAATATTTCGCGGATTACTTTGCGACGATCGATCTTTCGGAATTAATAACGCGGATGAGATGTAGGCGGATGGGTATTAAAAGAGGAAAAAAATAGTTTAGAGATTTTAAAATAACAATCGTTACGGTCCATAGCATGTATCCTTGGTTGTCTTAAATTATATCTTGACCTGTATGTGGGCAAATTGGAGCTCCACTCGTGGTGTGAATACATAATCACGCATGCATTCACTCATATCGGAGACACGTGGTCGCGCATCCTCCCGACCGTAATTACTCGGGAGTATCGAAGGCTATCCTCGATTCATCGCGCGGAACACACTAGCGGACAGAGAAGCACAACGGACTTGTGCACGTACGTACGGAGAAACGGTTTGTCTCGAAACACCGAAGATATGTACACGAAAACGAAATCTTATCTCGCGCGTCGTCTCCCGTCTATCTCCGAAGTCCCGCAAGAAATTGGACGAATTGTAAAGTCGATCGAGAGGAGAACTCGTTTCTTCGAAACTAAATCGTCTAGCCTCTGCTTTTCCTTCCGTTCTCTTCCAAATTTATCCCAATACGTGTTTTGATTCTGAATAAGAATTTGATTTTCTGATCCTTGAAATAAAACATAGTTGGAGAAGTAAATGCCAATTGATTGGGGACAAGATTAAAATTTTTTTCGCGATTTTGAAAAGTTAATCCTCATCCTATTTCTTTTTGATATAATTTTCCTACTTAATTAATTGTATTCACTCTCAATCCTTCATTCCACGACGTTGGGAGGCGACGCGCGCTTAAATCCTAGATAATTTATACAAATTGCGTGTAAATTAATAATCAAAGGGTTTACTCGAGGTAAGACGTATGTAAGTATTGTAGTAAGCTTAGATATACGATTATAATATGTTAGACTAGACTTCTTTTTTTTCTTCTTTTTGGGAAAGACTAAAGTTAGGCAAAAGATGACATTTTTGTTTTTTTTCTTTTTTCTTCATTAAAGTATTCTCTTCTATGGATTCTCTCTCTCTCTCTCTCTCTCGCTCTCATACTCTTTTCTTATTCATTATTCTTTCAGGCACGCCTCGCTCTTTCTCTTATTTTGTCTCGCTTTTCTCACTTTTCTCTCTTTCTTTCTCATTCTCACTCGTGTTTTTCATTCATCCTGTCGCTCCGACGACACACCTCATTCTCATCTCGCATTCGTTTCCCATTCGCGGACTAGCAATAAATTTTTGAACTTATATTAGCCGTTAGAACGCTCTCTTGGAAAACACAAGTTTCGCCTTATACTAATAATGGTAATGGTCTCTTCATCTTTCTTTCTGCATTCCCTTCTTTCTTTCTATCCTCGTCACAGCTAATGCTCTCTCGACCTGTTTCTGTCCCCAACCGCCTTCTTCGCCTGCGATCTCGTCAACGACGGTACTATACAACTAGAATAATAAATATTGCCGCATTATTATTTGCTACATTCGTCCCAAATAGTCAACAAGTCTGACTCCCGGAGAATCGCGGTTCTTGGTCTCCTCGTTTACATCACACCGACCAAATTTCTTTTCGACCATCTCCATCGTGCGTACTTTATATGGAAATATGTAACTTTCGAGCAAACGATCAAGCATCAATTTTTAAGGAGACCAACTTATTTCTTATGGACACTTTATAACTGTCCTAACGAGCATCCGCGTGTAAAATTCTTTTGTAAAATTAGAACTTAGAAATGTAAAAGAATAAAAACTCATCTCCAAAAAAAGGAGTGTCAATGTGTGCAATTACAAAAGAATATTAATTCCGATATAAATTTTGAAGCAAAATTACAATCTAAAGAAAAAGTCTAAAAAATTAACTTTAATCGTAATTTAATTTATTTTTTGTCTCTCTTTTTACGAATTTAATTTTGGATAAACTCGAAAAATCTATTAAATACTTCTTAAAGTCTTTTTGAATACATCGAACTCTCGATAATTATTGACAGCTGATTTGTGTATTGAAAGAACTTCGTACAGCCCTCCAAGTTTGAGCTCCAAACCACCGCGATCTCCGAGGAGTCTAATTTCACCGGTAATCGCCCGACGCCAGTCGCACGCGCGCGCGCAAACGTGTTACTAGATGTATGTAGTAGTAATATCTCTCTTTCCATCTCTATTCGTGTGTTAAGTATACATTAATATCCGTTCTCGGTACCGCGCGCGGTGCTCCTCAATCGTCCCAGGTGGGGAAGCTATCCTGATCGATGAACAGGTTCTTGCCCGTCGTCGTTGACGCGGTTTGGTCGATGCGACGGCCGCTTCCCGCCGCTCCCGTTTGCCTCTGTTGATGGCCGCCGATGCTAATATGCTGCTGCTGGTTCGGCGTGCCGCCGAAATTCGTGCTGCCAAACACTGGCTGGCCAAACGCGTCCAACTGCTGGCTCTCGTAAATGCTGTGGTCTGGCGAATACTGCTTCTGCTGTTGCCGCTGATGGTGCTCGGTCACGGTCAACTCGATGTTGCCGGCCGTACCGCCGACGACGATGTCGTCAATGTTCTCCGACGCGTTCGCCTCCTCCAGGCTACTGTTCTTGATACCGTACTGGAAGTACATGATGAAACCTGATGGCAGATACGAAAAGCGGTGTTTCGATTGATCGTGAGATTCGCAGGAAGGAATTAGTTAAAGAATTATTGTTCCACTTAAAAATCAGATAGAATCGGATGAAAATAGGTATAATCTCCGTCCACATAGTTTGTATATAAAACTTTATGAATATAAATTTGTACCGAGAGTCATCCAGACTGTGAACCTAACCAAGGTGAGGATGCTGAGCTTGAAGATGAGATAAATGTTAACGGTAACGGCGATCGCGGGGACGAAGGGTAAGCCTGGAGTCATGAACATTACGCTGCTCCTGAAACAAAAAGGGAAATACAGGGAATTAGCACGTATTGTTAGATTAAACCATTTCACGATTGGGCACGCTTCAATTGGCAGATTTACGGGATTGCGAATTACAAATAACCTACCTATTTTGCGGCTTTCTACTGATGACGAGAAGTATACCAATTATGGCAAAGAGAAATAAGAATAGTAATATCGTTGTAAATGTTCCCATGTTACCTGAAAGAAGAAAGAGCTGAAATATATCGATTCTCAACAGATATATTTATAGCGATTCGTGAAATTAATCAAATAATTAAAACAATTTTATAGAATTATTTAGATATGTATTATGTTTTAGAAATATATCCTTCTAATGTTATATGAGCTAAACATTTATTACATGTTCACACTTTTTTCCTCTCTTATTATGTCGAAATATTTTACGGAACGTTTGATTAATTTTACAAATACTTATTAATGTATTAAAAACGGTATAAAATTCTCACCCATCCCACAGACGATAATCAAGTCAAAAATAAGGATCAAGACGTATAAGATCCCAACGAGCTTCATAACGTAACGTCCTGACGCCTCTGTCGCAGGACCCCTGTCCACCCACGGGAATATAGCAGGACAAAGGTACTGCGCCGCCTACGAAATGTCACCATTCATTAGCTTCATAATAATCACAGTGTCGGAAGGAATGTTTTATGTGAATGGAACCTGATGAAGTAAGTACGTACACTTAAATATCAAAGGGGCAACAGTAATCTCATCCCTTGAGTTAAATAATTTTGTTATTTTTAGCTTCTATGTATTAAAATGTAAATTATAATTCATTTCTGTAGTTTCAAAATAAACATTGTCTATATTAAGATGCATTTAGTGAATAATAAACTAAATTTGAGTCAAGAATACATCTTCTTGAATTAAATTAAACTGTCAACTCCATTGTTTTAGTCAAATTAACGACATATTGGGTAGGAGCAGTAGCTACTCTCTAAATTTCTTGGAGCAAAATCTCACTCCAAAAGAGTTAAAATATTGTAAGTATTGAAAGAGAATGAAAATTTGCATTCTTGAATAAGGGTGGCAGATTTTCACTCTTTTTTTGGAGAGGAATTCATTCCAAGGAAAGAAATCTCACTCAAAAGTGTAAAATTTCACAAAAAAAAAAGGAAATTTTCCATTCTTATTCAAGAATACAAATTTTTCACTTTTTTCAATACTGGTAGTATTTCTTTTCAAGTGAGATTTTACTCTAAGAAATTTAGACAATAATTGGGTAACATTTGACATGAATTTTATTATTACTATTTTATTATTGTATTATTTAACAGTTTATATCTATATATAGAATGTTATGTAAAATTCTAATACAAAATAAAAGATATTTGTACAAGATAAATATAATAACAACCGGATAGAAGTCTATTATTTTCGAATGTATTACAATCGGGATGGTGACCTTTATTTCACCAAGCCATCGTTTTTCGATTACTGATCTCTACCTGCAGTCGACGCTGTAGATAATTCAACGGTGGCCCTATGATTGGCGTGTTTCCGGGATATTGATGAGCGCTACCGCAACTCGAGGCGGCCGCAGCCGCGTGCACGCTGCCGTAAAATTTATTCTCCGTTCTGTCGCTGACGAGATACTGATCGTCCTTACCCAATCCCACTTCGTCCTCTTCACCGCCGTACGTGTCATCCGAATCTGGCGACGAGCTGTTGCACCTCCTCACCCGCCGCACCTGGAACGATGCAACGCTAATTTCAAAATTGCGCAATCTCGCTTCGATCCATTCCTGCATTCCGCTACGCGATTGATCCAATTTTATTCGTCGATGGAGAAGAAATTCAGTAAAAAGGGAAGAGAATCGAATTGCCCTTATCTTGAAAATTTTAATGGTAAAAGAGATAAATCTTAGTCTTGCCTGACAAAAAAATTTTTTTAACTCCATTGAAAGATAAGGGAGAACATTTAGAAAGAAAGGAAGACAGAAAATCTTTTAAGAAATCCCTTGAGAACGACATCTAAGATGAATGTACTCTGGAAATGGTCTAATTCCAAGAAAATGTCGAGCGCGTGCAAAGAACTGCCGAAACGGAGCTATACGAAAACGAAAAACGGAAAGAAGTACAGAAATCGAGGAGAGAAAATCTCGTTTTCTCGTTGAAACGAGAGGAGTTTCTTCAATTACACGGCGATGGAGGTAGACTATGCGATTTCGTTGTTTTTTGAAACGCAAACGCAAACACGTCTCACCGTGATACGCTGCCCGTTGTTGGTGGTCGTAAGCTCTGACTGGGACGTCTGTACCGAGTTCAATGCGGTTGTAAGCTGATCGGGCCTAAGCTCCTTGCCGTAAGTCACTTGGCCGTTCCCCTGGGTTTCCTTCGTGGGCGATCGACAAGGCGTCCGCAAGCTCTGCGGCAGCAACTCGATCAAATTCGTCGAATGCGGCTGATATCGCAATATCAGCACGCATGTGGACACCAGAGTGTACGCCAGCAGGGTACCTAAAGCATTAAATCGCGAACAAGAACATAAACGTGGTTCTTCTCAGCACTAATTGCTATTCCGTTATAATTCAATTCATGCGATAGTTTTAACATTTGACGAACGCAATATAGCAGAACACTTGGAAATTAAATTAGAAACAATAAAAAAGATCGTACAAAGATAAAAAAAAGTATATAAATATATTTAAAAATATATAATGAAAATTTAAAGAAACTTATATTTATTCAAAAGTTAACTGTTTACAAATGAATATGAGATCAATATAATTAGACAAGTATACACTGAAAAAAATTTTTGGTTAAAAACAGATGATTAGAATTTTCTCTCTCTCTCTGGTTAAATTTATTAGAATTCTAGTTGAGATAATCAGAATTTTGAATGTTACAATATTTCCGATAAAATCTACTAGAATTCTTATTTTTTGAATAGAATAATTAGATCAATCAGAATTCTAGTTATCTCAACTAGAATTCTAATAGATTTAAGCAGAGAAAATTCTAATTCATCCATTTTCCACTAGAATTACTATTTAATTCAATTAGACCATTTTTCTCAGTGTATAATTATAAAAACAGATTGTAAATCTGATGTGCAAGAAACATAAGCTTATTTGAATTCAACCAACGAAAATAAAAATATCTAATCATACACGGAAAGAATAGTTTTGTTGAAATATTACAAAATTTAGAGAGATCTAAAAATAATTTTGTTTAGATCATCAAAATAATTATGTAACGCTTAAATTGGTTGCTAGAATGTTAAAACTTTTTGACATTGTCATCAACGTTTAAGCGTTCTACATAATTATTTTGATGTTTCAACAAAATTATTTTCAACCGTATTTAGCTCAATTTTCAGTAAAACCATTTTTTCCGTGTACAAGTTTTATTCCATAAAATTTTATGTTAATGATTTTTCAGAACTCCTTACCGGTCGATAATCAATAAATATGACAAAAACGCTATATATTCATTCCATTCTAAATTAATCGGAAGTCGTTTTAAGTAACGTCTTACCGATCGACATCATTTCCACCAACACTTCTAGCTGGATCAACAGCGCAGCGAAAGCTGCACACATGCCGGAAGTTAAAGTCGCAATTGCGGGAGTGCCAGTCGCCGGCCAAACTTGGCTGAGGCTCCTGCGAAAGTGAAACGAGCGCTTTACATTCACAATTACATCTACGGTTTTAACTGTTCTTAATGATTCCTTTCATCGCAGTTTCCAGTGTTAACCTGTATCTTGATCATTACCGAAATATAAGGCCATCCTGAGCCATCGCGTAGACTATTCTAGGCATCGGAAACATACTGCCGAACATGGAGACCGTCAGACCTGCCAGCGCACCGACTGCGACGATGTACTTGCACTTGTAGGCCCCGACTTGGCCGAACATTTCCACCAACGCCGAATCCTGATCAACCTGATCGTATGGAACTGAAACACGAGGTACTCGAATACATGTTGGGAACACTATAACGTACCGTCCCGCAAGACACTACCGTCCCACGTAAATTCGACTCTGCGAGTTTCCCCGGCAATCAATAGTAACAATTTCGTATGAAGCATAATAATACATTTCATACAATAGCCAATAATGTCAAAGTTTCAACAACTCTCATTTGCCTTATGAATAAGTTTCGCAATAATTTTAGTTTCTATCGTTTCACCAAACATTGTTACACAATACAGAGTTGTAGTAAAATCGATTCCAATACGAGATGGAAGCAACTCTCGATTCGTCGATAGTGATTGTCAAAAAGGCAGTCTGAGACCAATGAATTAAGAGGGATAGTCCGAAATTTTAACTCTTTGTTTCTTGTACAACGCGTTCTAAATTTTGTTTCACACACAAATTAAGAATATGATTATAAATTGATCCTTTTTTTAAATGTAAAAATAATAAGTGAAAATGATAATTGAAAATAAGTGTAACAATAATAAATGTGAAATATAATTTTCAACTAACATGTGGAAAATTTTATGACTTTTTATTTAAAAACCTAGATTATTCATAAAATACATTTAGTAGAAAAGTACAATTTTAAAACATAAAACGTGATTTCGTAAGTTTGTATAATTTTTGTTGTGATCTCACATGATATTATACATCAAGTGTTATTATTATTTACAAATATAATAATATAATATTGTTTATGTGTTTCATTAATAATTATTTTAAAAAATGTTTATCTATTAAAATTTAATTACAATTAATATTGAATTTTTTTTAATGTCCCTCTTTCTTTTCTTCACGAATTGGTTACATTAACGTAGCTGTTAAAGCTGCTCTACGTTCATTGTGTCAATAGTTGTTCAAATTTCAGAAGTGGATGCAAAAACACAAGGACAAAATCAAAAGAACAGGCACGTCGCTCTGCCGTGCTTGTCGCGAAAGATGAATAAAAGCGTATTTCCATTAATGAGGGCCAACAAACGATCGACTACCATTATTTAATGATCTACTCACCAATCAGTGTCAAGATCATGCTGCTGGTGACGTAAGCGACGAGAATTATGATCAACGACGAGACTATGGCGAGGGGAATACTCCTCTTCGGATTCGTCGCCTCCTCGCCGGTGGTGGCTATTATGTCGAAGCCAATGAAGGCGTAGAAACACGTCGCCGCGCCGGTGAAAACCTGACAGGAAAGAGAGATTCGGTTTTTCAACGCGTCGGACTGCAGAATATATTGTCGCGACGGAGACCGATCGGACACCGAAATGCGATAAAATGGAACGAAAATAAGATATCTGACGGAAATTCGAGATGGAAAATCGAGTTCAAACAGAGCTGTGGCTCTTTAGGTAAATGTCATAGCGCTTTTATCGAAATGCAAAATTTACCATATAGAATTCACTTCGTATTAAGGGATGATATAGGGTACTCACGTTGATGTACCATTTGATTCAGTAACTATGCCGATTATAGGGGCGCGTATAAAGTAAATTAAATGGAGATCGATAAAAATGATTGTCCAATGTGAGTCACTTTGCAGCTGTCATTGCAATCCCTGCCTTCAGTTGGATTTACTGAAAGTGTCACGTCCTTTAAATGCAGTATTAAAGCGTTTACATATTTCACCTCTGCTCGACGTGCTTATGAATTTTTGATAAACTCCGAGAAAGTAAGATTAGGACGATGTTGCTTAAATAATCGGCGTACAGTTGGCCACACAGAAGAAATTACTTATTCATTCACGTTTTGGTGCAGTCGTGCATTTGCTTCAGAAAATAAATAAAAAGATCAGCAGAATATCGCGATCGCACGCTACCACTAATGTTAAGGAGATGCTGAAGTAATGGTCGAACTCTCTAACGGAATTATGTATTTACATCTATTTTTTTTATGTTCAGAAATTTTCTCTTTTGAATCTAATCAGTTTCAATTTTTTCAATTTTTTACAGCAAAAAATTAGAAAAATTGCAAAACTTAAATAGACCCCATATAAGATATCTTTAATTTATCTTATTTTATTCAGTTACCTTTTAAGTACACAATCAAACTGAATTATATATATATAATTAAACTAAAAGTATCTATCCACATTTGAATAATATATAAGAATATTATAGGATCTTGAGTTTATAAGCACTGAAGCCCTTACAAAAGAAATAAACAGAAAAATACGATCTAAGTGTACGTATACGAGGTACATGCAGGTTTAATACACTCAGATCATATTTTTCTATTACTTTCTTTTATAAGCTTCAAAGTCATAAATTCGAGCTCTTGTAATATCCTTACATATTATTTACGTATGGGCAGATACTTTTAGTTTGAGTATTTACTTGGAATCACTTATATTATGTGAAGAAGAATAGCCTACGAGATAAAAGGAAACTATATAGAGTAACTCCGGCAAATACGCCGCGCTGGAATTTACGCCGCAGAAGTCAGAAAAAATAGAAGGAGTGGGGGTAATTTTCCCGTAACTACTCTGTTACATGCCTTTATGTTATATTAGTATTGTGTTATGATTTCAGCTTCTTAATGTTAATATTAATGAATTTATTGTGAGTTGAATCGATTTATCACTGTAATAAGTAACGTCATCATAAATTATAATCTACATAAAATGATTAATGTAGAGCGTGTAAAAGACTTAGTGATTATTTTGTGATACATACGTATAGTGGAATAGTAAAGCATGTTGTGTAGCAAAATACAAGAGCTTTGCTTTCGTATTCTTTGTTTAGCTTGTTGTTTTGTATATCCCACCTGTTTAGGATATACGGCATTTTTAGCGAGCAGGATTTATGCCCAAAGCATACAAAGTGCGCAGATTGAACTCAGTGCACTAAACGCAATAAACGCATTATATGAAATATGTACCTCATGTCATAACACTTGTAATATATGTAGGAAAATCATAATTATTATTTATTACTTCGTATACATATTTACCATTCTTATTCCTTAATAAAGCTTTATAAACACATTTTATAAGTTATTATGTCATTATAGGTCTTATTTATATGCATTATTTGTAAATTTTTCATGAGCCGTACATTTCCCCCTCTCCCCCTATGAGTAGCCATATATCCCATCCCTATGGGATATATGGCAAAAATGCAAGGGTTTCAAAAAGTTTATTTTTTAATATGAAAAATAAATATTTCGGATTTCTAATATTTTTTTCATAGAGTAGACAGTACAAAGTTTTTACTGATATAGTTCGTTTACTATAAACATAGTAAGTAATACTTAATAAATTAAGTTTTTAATAGGTACGGCGTATATACCGGAGTTACCCTGTGTATAATTCAACAACTTTTTTTTGGTTTTTCATATGCAGTTTTGTATCTTTTCACATTTGGCGTATTTTCTTTTATTTTAGGGAAGAATTTTCACAAGTGAAAAAAAATAGAAAAGTGCTTATGTCGGTACAAATGATTCCAGCATCTCTAATTTTTATATGCTTTTTCATGGCATATCCGACTATTTTTCCAATACTTTTCCCATTCTTTTTTCATTGCTTATGATTCTTTTATTAAAGACATAGGTATACATTTGCTTGTATCTTATGTTCCTTAATATCTAGTGTTTCAATTAAAAAGAAATTTTTTTATATACATTCACATATTAATGTATTTTCTTAGTGAGGCGTTTAAAAAAATTTTGATTATTCGAATATCGTTACTCTCTTGATTTAATTATCTGAAATAAAAAGATAAAACGAATGAAAGCGGGAGAAATACAAGGAGGAAGATCGCCAGATAAAAATGCTAAAATTTACATTTTCATAAGTAGCATGGGAAATCGAGCAAGAAAGATTATGCGAAGGAGTTTCGAGTAAAGTTGACATGAAATTTCGTGACCCAGCGAGAGGTGGGCGTTATGTAATCGGTACACCCCCGGTTTCGCTACATCCTCTACATTTTCGTTGTTGCGCCCACGTGCGAGCGTGTCGCACAAAAGCGCAGTTAAACCGCGATTAAAGGTCGACCGGCCCACCCGATTCATCGCAAATACACTGTTCAAATATAATACTTCAGCAATATGAAATCCCCCTTCAGCAATATGAAGAGTTTCAGCTTCGAAATTCTATTAGTCGAAAGCAAAGAAATTGCACCGCAATCGGGGCTGCGGCAACACGAACAATGCCAAACGTTTGCCTCGAAAGGCATATTATCAGTATGCGAATTTCTTGCGGAAACAAAGAAATTAAAACGAGGGTGAACACAGACGAAACGTTACACTCAGATTTTTTTCAAACTTTCGGAAACCGACGTCGCCGTTGTTCTTTGACGAAACTTGTGTTTCAAAGTTAATTATCTGGGCTCAAAAACGTTCTATTTCCAAGAAGGCATGGGAAAGAAGAATTGGAGTTTTGAAATTGCTCGCGGTGATATGTAAGACCGCGTACCGCGTAACTTTGCTGTAAAGGAATCCCGAGCGATGCCGAGTATTGAAAGACGTAGATCTCTGTGTTGATAGAAATAAAGAAACCATAAAAAAAATTACGCTCACGCAATGTTCGTTCGAATTTCTGAAAACTATTGTCTCTACTTTAAAAACTACTCTGCGATTCGATACAGAGTCGCGTTTCGAATTAATTATATTTGAGAAGAAAATATTTCACTTTCATAAAGGATAAGAAATGAAGCGACGATGAGATTTTATAAGACGATGTACGAACGGTAAAACGTAGGACATTGAAGGAGGACACGAGAAAAGGCTCCTAAGGAAAGTCGTGAATCTTTCAGCGAGACAGCTGACCCTGTTGGCTCTTGCACACGTTATCCCTATATCCTCTATCGCACAGAGCTTGACTATCTCTAAATATTGCTTTACGCTGGAAAATAATTCGTTTGATCCGGACGTTATAGAGAATTAAAAAAAAAGGGAGGAATTATGTTCGTATTGAGAGAAAAAAATTGTTGCAATTATCATAATGTAACTATAATTTAGTTGTTTTTTTTTTGGGATAATTATATATTTATAAGCAAAAGAAATTATAACCTGCTCGTTATTGAAAACTGCAACATAAATTCTAATAATAAAAAAAACCGCCAGAAAGGAGCTCATAATACAGGATGTTAATAATAATAGTTATACATTTGTAGTTGTTCTAACCATACAAACATAGTCAATTGTTCCATTCGTTAAATATTGATCTTCATTCATGTGATAATTATGCATGCATGTGTGTGTTTGTATAATATTTACTAATATTGGTATACATTGGTCATGTCATTTGGAGTTGTATTAATAATAATCACGTACATATTGCTTGCAAATCTTCAATATTCTCTTAATATCTCTTTCGATTATTATATACCATATAAATAGCAAATAAATTTAAGAAAATAATTATACTCACTATAATTGCAATTGCATTTATTAAATAAAAATGTTTATTCTATTTGTTATTTATATCTTGATATAAATAATTTTTATTATATTAATGTTTGAAATTATTGCAGTTTACAGTAGAATTTTTTCATAATTGAGAAGACTACATATATAATTATTATTATTAATATTATAGCAGAAATAATCACAAAAATGGAGCATCTAACCGTAATTATTTTACCATGCAATTGTAGTTACAAATACTAAACATTTTTCTTTTAGTGCGAAAAAACAAACAAAGAGTGTTTTAATATTTCGAATGTTATAAACGTAATGAATATCTCATGATGCGCGCATAATATAGAGTAAAAAAACATTATCATCTTAATTTCAGTTATGCATACGGAAAAAATAATTTTGTCAAAAAGCTAGATACAAATCTGATAATAATTATGTTGAATCATCAAAATAATTATATAGAAATTTAAGGCATGATGAGTAAGCTGCAAAAGGTTTTGACATTTTAGCAACCAGTTTGAGTGTCCTACATAATCATTTTGATGATCCAATAAAATTATTTTCAAATCTATATATCTATAGCTGAATTTTTAGATACTTCAGCAAAACCGTCCTTTCTGTGCACTGAAGCCTAATCTCTGTACTCTCCAAGAATTATGCGATATATTTCTCATGTCAGTTGCAAAGGAGAGTAGATTTCAGATAGAAGGGGAAACAATAATTTATAGTCGCCCATTGTCGAGAAATTAGTACCTTCTCAAAGTAAATTACGCTCCACTGAATGTTGAATCACCATAAGTAAGTAAATTAAAAAATGTTGTGACG